CGGGACGACGGGGCCGCATGTAGTGTCGCCCGAGCCGCGTGCAGGCGGCCCGAGCCGCGCGTGGGCCTGGCGCCACCCGTACGGGTCGCGCGTAGACCTGGCGCGGCCCGTACGGGCCGCGGACGGGTCTGGCGTGGCCCGTACGTGCCACGCGCAGGCTGTACGGGCCGCGCGCAGGCCACGACGGGCGACGGGGGGCGACGCGGAGGTCCCCGTCGCTTGTCGCAGCGCCTCCTGGGAGCGGCGCGCGGCGTGACGGGGCAGTAACCCGCCGCGCGCCTCGGGGCGCACGGCGGGAAGAGAACCGCTGCGCGCCTCGGGGCGCACGGCGGGCAGAAAACCGCCGCGCGCCTCGGGGCGCACGGCGGGATGAAAAACTGCCGCACGCCACGGGGCGTGCGGCACAGAGAGTAGTGATAGCAGTAGCAGTAGGAGTTGCAGCGGAAGCAACGAGGTGGTAAGTCCACCCACAGGATCGATCCAAGGGGATCGACCTGCTCTGATAGCATGTGAAAATTAGAAGAGAGAAGAGGGTTGCACTAGCAAGAATGAGGATACAAATAGCAAACCCTATAAGGGTTGTACTCGCTATAGAGCACCCCACTACAGGCTAGAGCATAATATTCTGACACTTACATCTATATTATTGCTAGGAACTGTTGTACTTGAGCCCATTGTAATGAGAACGATGCCAATTGCTACAGAAGCAAGCTTTCTCAATGTTATTTTTTTTCACCTCTATCGAACGTCTGGTCTGTGGTAGTTGATTGAATTTCACAATCCAAATCAGAGGTCGGGTGATCGATTTTCGGTGGCTAATAAGATATGTGTATACTGCGATTTTCGTTGTCCGTGTACAGTTTAGATGAGAATATAAATGTACCCACATAAAATGTTAGTTTTGAGAACAAATGTACTAGTGTTGTGGGTTTGAAGTCATCAGCAGTTTTAGAGTGTTTTTTTCCACTTCCTTATTACAATCAAAATGCATAAAGCTCAACAGCTTTCTATATTTCATCCACAAATATTCAACTGGAAACAATCTTCCAAGTCAGGAAGATAATTATCATGCGCTATACATCCATAAAAAAGCTTCGCAACCCTAGGCCGACTTTGTTGTCAAACCATAATGTTCTGTAGGCTGTAGTGGGGTAGCCTATATGGGGTACACATTTCTAGGGTTGCACATTTGTACCACATTCCATTCCTTAGTGCACTCATTCTCGTTTCAATTCTCTCATGGTATCGAGCAGGTTCCCTCGTGGGAACTGTGCCTAGGGCCCACCAAGTCGAAAGTTTTTTTTTTCCTGCCCGTAGCGCGCTCTGCCCGAGTCACGCTCCCTTCTCTGACTTCGTCGAGCCGCCCTAGCGGCCAAGTCGCGCCGCCTTAGCGGCCCCTGATTCGTCGCCCTAGCGACCCCGTCGCCCTACCTGCGCCTCGGCCCCGTCGCCCTACCTGCGCCCCGGCCCCGTCGCCCTACCTGCGCCTCGGCCCCGTCGCCCTACCTGCGCCCCGGCCCTGTCGCCCTACCTGCGCCCCGGCCCCGTCGCCCTACCTGCGACCCCGGCCCCGTCGCCCCCCCCCCCCCCCCCCCCCCCCCTTGCGACCCTGGCCCCGTCGCCATACCTGCGGCCCCGGCCCTAGCCCCGTCGCCCTACCTGCGCCCCGGCCCCGGCCCCGTCGCCCTACCTGCGCACCGGCCCCGTCGCCCTACCGTCGACCCGGCCCCGTCGCCCTACCTACGGCCCGGCCCCGGCCCCGTCGCCCTGCCTACGGCCCGGCCCAGTCGCCCTACCTTCGACCCGGCCCCGTCGCCCAACCTACAGCCCGGCCCCGGCCCCGTCACCCTACCTACGGCTCGGCCCCGGCCCCATCGCCCTACCTTCGACCCGGCCCCGTCGCCCTACCTGCGCCCCGGCCCCGGCACCGTTGCCCTACATGCGCACCGGCCCCGTCGCCCTACCTTCGACCCGGCCCCGTCGCCCTACCTACGGCCCCGCCCAAACCGCCTACACAGCCGAGCCGCCCGAGCCGCCCGAGCCGCCTGAGCAGCTGAGGAGCCGAGCCGCGGGTGCCGCCGAGCCGCAGTTGCTGCCGAGCCGCCCGAGCTGCCCGAACCGCCCTATCTGGTGAGCGCAGCGCCTCTGTCACTGCAGTGCCCCTGCTCTACAGTCAGCGCTGCTAGTCTACTGTTGTCATGGCTACCCCTAGTGTCCTCGCTTTTGACGCCGAGGGTCGAGCCATTGATTTTGACGTCTGGGTAGATGACCTGCAGCTGTTCTTACAGTGCGATAGGGCAGACGGTCTCTCCCTCTTTGACCTCACCTCTTGTGCCTCTCCTGCTCCTGCTGCTGATGCTGACGCCACTGTTCGCTCACAGTGGGCCACGCGCGATGCTGCTGCACGTCTTGCTGTGCGTCGTCACCTCCCTACCTCTGAGCGTGCGCACTTTAGTCAGTACAAGAGTGCTCAGACCTTGTACGACGCTGTAGTTGCACGCTACTCCTCCCCTGCCACTGCTGCACTGAGCCGTTTCATGCTACCGTACCTCTTCCCTGACCTTGCTGCCTTTCCCACAGTCGCTGACCTCATTACGCACCTCCGCACTAGTGACACTCGCTACCGCGCTGCGCTTCGTGCTGACTTCTGCGCCAAGAACCCCCCCCCCCATGTACATCACTCTCTACTCGATAGTCACTCGCCTCCCTGACTCCCTTCGCGTAGTCAGGGACCACTTCCTCTCAGTCTCTCCCACCACTCTCACTGTTGACCTCCTCGAGAAGTCCCTCCTAGCGGCCGAGAAGAGCATAGTTGCTGTAGGGGCCTCTCGTGGTGACCCGCGCACCCCCATCTTTGAGGGGTGTTCCCCCTCCCCCCTTCTGCCCTTTGTTGCCTCTGCTGCTACGGCTGACCTCCTTGGTCTTGAGTCGGTCGGTGCGGCGTCTGCCCCTAGTGGGAGACGCCGCTCTGGCAGGGGCAAGGGGGGCAGGGGCACTGGAGGAGCGAGCGGGGGCGGTGGAGGCGGAGGTGGAGGCGGCGGGGGGAGTGGGGGTGGCGGTGGGAGTGGAGGTGGGGGTGGAGGTGTCGGTGGCGGCAGTGGAGGCGGAGGCGGCGGCGGCGGTGGCGTTGGGAGCGGAGGTGGCGGAGGTGGTGGCGGTGGAGGAGGCGGCGGAGGCGGCGGTAGTAGCGGAGGCGGCGGAGGCGGCGGAGGCGGCGGGGGTGGCGGTGGAGCTGGTCGCGGGTCTACGCAGAGGAGTGGCTCCGGTGGTGGTCCGCGCCGGCAGCAGCAGCGCGGTCGTGAGACCTTGTCCCCTCAGCAGCTCCGTGAGTGGTACACTGCACGCCAGCGGGGTGGGGGCTTTGGTCCGTGCACCTACGTCCTGCGCACCGGCGACCGTTCGGGTGAGCAGTGTGGGGGTGCGCACCCCACCGAGCGCTGCTTTGGCCGCCTGACGGACGCGTGGCGTCACCAGTTCCCCGAGGCCACAGAGATCCCTCGCTGGGGCGAGCTGTCTAGGGCGGGAGTTGCCATCTATGATCTTGATTTTGATGCTATCCTTTCTGCCATGTATGCTATGTCTATTAGTGATGAGGGTGACTGTTACCGGTGTTTCCCGCCCGACCCGGGCATTGAGACTGCTGCTCTAGGTACTGGTGAGGCTGCTGCTCTAGGTGCCAGTGAGGCTGCTGCTCTAGGTGCCAGTGCGTCTAGGTGCCAGTGCGTCAGCGAAGAGGGTGTTGTGCTACTTGTGCAGTACGTCAGGCATGGGGCTTGTGCTTGGAGGGCAGAGTTCAGTGGTCCTCACTGGACACGCAGACGCTTCTTGGGCTGACGACCAGGCTACGCAGCGGTCGTCACAGGGTTACACCTTCAGCCTTGGTTCCGGCTCTGTCTCGTGGCGGGCTACTCGCTCGTCTTCTGTTCTCGGCTCCAGTTGTGAGGCTGAGATCTACGCAGGAGCCATGGCTGCAAAGGAGCTTCGCTGGCTCACCTACCTGCTGACTGACCTCGGAGAGCCGCCTCGTTCTCCTCCAGTGCTGTACGTAGACAACAAGGCCATGCTGGCCTTGTGTCGGGAGCAGCGCCTGGAGCACAGAACGAAGCACATTGCTCTCCGCTACTTTCTTGCTCGTGAGCTGCAGCAGCGTGGTCAGTTGCGACTTGCGTACGTGGCCTCTGAGGCCAACACTGCTGATATCTTCACTAAGGCACTTGCGCCTTGTGATCATCAGCGCTTCTGTACTCAGCTTGGTCTTGTGCCTGCCTTGCCTCACTTGCTCACTTCTTGACCTTGCTTGTACTGTCACATATATATACTCCTGCACTTGCTTGTTTAGCCTTTTATATATATGTGTGTGCTCCTGCATGTGAACTGGCCTTGTGGCCTTGAACTTGTGCTCGGATTGTGTGTTGACTTTGTGATCCACCCTGAGCTTTGCTTTGTTCTGCTTGACTGGTATTGTGACCCCTTGTTCTCCCCCACTTTGCCTATGGGGGTGTGTCAAATCATAATGTTCTGTAGGCTGTAGTGGGGTAGCCTATATGGGGTACACATTTCTAGGGTTGCACATTTGTACCACATTCCATTCCTTAGTGCACTCATTCTCGTTTCAATTCTCTCATTTGTCGCCTCTTGTTACGTTTCGGAAAGTTGAAGAGCTGCGCGTTTTCAATATTTCACCCTAGACGATCCTCGACGTGAACGGGGAAACATTTCAATGTTGTACGCCATTCTGATTGGTGGCGACTTACGCCCACATATGTGTGCGAATTTGGCGCAAGGTTGCAATGCTGCATTCACTCAAGGAGTCTACTACACCAAAACTCACAACTCAACACAGGCAAATTCCAACGCGCACCCATATGCACGAGGTGGGATTGGAAGACCGTGAAGGTTTTTCGACGAGCTAGCAGAGCTGCGAAATAATCCTTGGACTTGAGGCTGAGAGAGGTGAAAAAATATGGTGTTGAGAAAAAGGTATGAGGTGAAAAAATAACATGGACAATCGTGATGCGAATGGAGAGAACGATTGCGATGGGGAGAGAGGAAGGGCGTCGGGAGGGTCGATTGGTCGACAGCGGAGGCGAATAGAAGGGAGTGGGGAGAAGGGGGGCGACGGGATGGGAGGGGAGAGAGGTTGGACGACGAGATGGGAGGGGAGAGAGGAGGAACGCCGGGAGGGGAGGGAAGAGAGGAGGGACGACGGGATGGGAGGGGAGAGAGGAGGGACGACGGAGGGGGAGGGGCGAGAGGAGGGACGACGGGATGAGACTGGAGATAGAAGGAACGGCGGGATTGGAGGGGAGAGAGGAAAGGACGACGGGGTTGGAGGGGAGAGAGGACATAGCGAGGGGATGGGCAGCGCCAATGGGCGATACGCGGCGAAAGGTAACGAAACGATATAGCGAGGCGAAAGTCAGCGAAACGATATAGTGAGGCGAGGGGCAGCAGAGCCCTCGACATCATACATTTTTGTCTATTTGTCTTAGTTTCCAGACAGTTTTTTTCCAGTTAAAGCCCGAGTATCACATCGTATTTTTCAAATTCAAGTTTCTTGAAGATGATTTCGTGAATAACCATGTTACCAGCTGGTTCAGAACAATCCGTCGGGTTCAAGCAGCAGAGGTGATCCGTGATTGGCCAGTGATAAACTAGAACAACCAGCAGGAAAAAGGCCTCAGATGAAAGCACTGTTCACCTTGAGTAAACTTGAAAACCATCGGGAACGCTTGGACATGCATATTATGAGGCATGCTAGTAGTAGTTCTCCCGTCACAAATGGGCAATCTCCTTCCTAAGCACTCTGTTCAAAGACACGAATCAGGGACCTTTGGCGACTTTAGTTGCAACCGAGCCGCTGCCACTTTGTTCCTCTACCGCAACCGCCACGTTCTCTCCATGTGTCCGTTGCAGCGAGTAGTAGTCTCAGGCGTAGAAAGAAGCACACACTCACGCGTCGCGAAAGTATCCCCAGCCTTCCGCCTCCGCCGTCAATTCTCTCAGCCAATATAGACACCCCGACTTTTTTTTCAGTCGTAGCTTATTGGTATGACAGCAACGCGGCGGTGTATCGTGTTTCCTCACTCGGTCGCCTTGGCATCGCCCTTCCTCAAACATCACATTTGGCCCTATCGCCTTCTGCGTACCCTACGCGCACGCCCACGCTTCCCCCCACCCTTTCCCTCACCGTTGCTCATGCTTCCCCTCTACCGTCGCTCACGCTTCCCCTTACCGCCGCATGCGCTGCCTCCTGCTCCGTGGGTGCACCCACGCTTCCCCACACCATCGCGCACGCCTTCCCCCACATTCACACACGCTCATCGCCCACGCTTCTTCTGACCGTCACCCCCGCTTCAGCCCACCGTCACCGACGCTTCCTCTTACCGTCGCCCACGCTTCCTCTTACCGTCGCCCACGCTTCCTCTTACCGTCGCCCACGCTTCCTCCCACCGTCGCCCACGCTTCCTCCCCGTCGCCCACGCTTCCCCCCACCGTCGCCAACGCTTTTCCCCACCGTCGCCAACGCTTTTCCCCACCGTCGCCAACGCTTAACCCCACCGTCGCCCACGCTTCCCCCCACCGTCACCCACGCTTCCCCCCACCGTCGCCCACACTTCCCCCCACTGTCGCCCACGCTTCCCCTGCCATCGCCCTCCCTGTCGCCCGGGAATCCCCCCTCCCGCCGGCCTCCCTCCCCTCCCGCGAAGAATCCCCCCGTCCTCTCATTACCCCGGCCTCTCATCCCCCTGTCCCCTATCCTCTCGTCCCCCTCGTCGTCTCGTCCCCCCGTCCTCTCATCCCCTCGTCCTCTCATCCCCCTCGTCCTCTCATCCCCTCGTCCTCTCATCCCCCCGTCCTCTCATCCCCTCGTCCTCTCATCCCCCCATTACGCTCGTCCCCTCGCAAACCCCGTCTCCCTATCTCCCCCACATTCACACACGCTCATCGCCCACGCTTCTTCTGACCGTCACCCCCGCTTCAGCCCACCGTCACCGACGCTTCCTCTTACCGTCGCCCACGCTTCCTCTTACCGTCGCCCACGCTTCCTCTTACCGTCGCCCACGCTTCCTCTTACCGTCGCCCACGCTTCCTCCCCGTCGCCCACACTTCCCCCCACCGTCGCCAACGCTTTTCCCCACCGTCGCCAACGCTTTTCCCCACCGTCGCCAACGCTTAACCCCACCGTCGCCCACGCTTCCCCCCACCGTCACCCACGCTTCCCCCCACCGTCGCCCACGCTTCCCCCCACTGTCGCCCACGCTTCCCCTGCCATCGCCCTCCCTGTCGCCCGGGAATCCCCCCTCCCGCCGGCCTCCCTCCCCTCCCGCGAAGAATCCCCCCGTCCTCTCATTACCCCGGCCTCTCATCCCCCTGTCCCCTATCCTCTCATCCCCCTCGTCGTCTCGTTCCCCCGTCCTCTCATCCCCTCGTCCTCTCATCCCCCTCGTCCTCTCATCCCCTCGTCCTCTCATCCCCCCGTCCTCTCATCCCCTCGTCCTCTCATCCCCCCATTACGCTCGTCCCCTCGCAAACCCCGTCTCCCTATCTCCCTGTCCCCCTCGTTCTTTCCCCGTATCCCCAGCCCTGCTTCCCCCCATCCCCTTCCTTGCTTCCCCCCATCCCCTTCCCTGCTTCCCTCCATCCCCCTCCCTACTTCCCCCCATCCCCCTCCTTGCTTCTCCCCATCCCCTTCTGTGCTTCCCCCCATCCCCTTCCCTGCTTCCCCCCATCCCCCTCCCTACTTCACCCCATCCCCCTCCCTGCTTCTCCCCATCCCCTTCCCTGCTTCCCCCCATCCCCTTCCCTGCTTCCCTCCATCCCCCTCCCTGCTTCACCCCATCCCCCTCCCTGCTTCCCCCCATTCCCTTCCCTGCTTCCCTCCATCCCCCTCCCTGCTTCCCCCCATCCCCCTCCCTGTTTTCCCCCATCCCCCTCCTTGCTTCCCCCCATCCCCTTCCCTGCTTCCCTCCATCCCCCTCCCTGCTTCACCCCATCCCCTTCCTTGCTTCCCTCCATCCCCCTCCCTGCTTCACCCCATCCCCCTCCCTGCTTCCCCCCATCCCCTTCCCTGCTTCCCTCCATCCCCCTCCCTACTTCCCCCCATCCCCTTCCCTGCTTCCCCCCATCCCCTTCCCTGCTTCCCTCCATCCCCCTCCCTGCTTCACCCCATCCCCCTCCCTGCTTCCCCCCATCCCCTTCCCTGCTTCCCTCCATCCCCCTCCCTGCTTCCCCCCATCCCCTTCCCTGCTTCCCCCCATCCCCTTCCCTGCTTCTCCCCATCCCCTTCCGTGCTTCCCCCCATCCCCTTCCCTCCTTCCCCCCATCCCCTTCCCTGCTTCCCCCCATCCCCCTCCCTCCTTCCCCCCACCCTCTGCCCTGTTCCCAAATGCCCTCCCCATCCCTGCCTTTCCCTCCCTGCCCTGCCTTTCCCTTCCCCATCCCTTCTCAACCTTTCCCTTCCTTTTCATGCCCTCCCCTTCTCCCCCACTCCCCGCCTTCCGCGCTCTAGTTTCCATGCATGTGCACCCATCACTGTCTCACCATACATGCTTTCATCATGTGCCCTTGTCGTTGCCGTTGTTACCTTGACGCCCACACCACCTCCCCCATATGCCTTCACACAATTCTTTCTGCCTACTCCACTCCCCTATTTTTCAGTGGTGAAGCAGAGGAGCAACAGTTGCTAGCTGAGGCACAGCTAGTCGATGCTTTACACCATACCACGGCCTGTTTCTTGTGTTTTCTATGCAAGCATGATACTGTATCACTGTTGGAGATATGCAATTCAAAGGCACACTTCGTACTAGTAATTGCCTTTGCAGTGCAAGATGTTCTACCAATATGCATGGACACTATGAGTGTCAGAAGGGAATATATAGGCATGTTCCTAATACTTCCTTTTGATTGTAGGCAAAGATCAAGGGGGGCAATACGACTGACCTTTCTCAAGGCCTTGAAAAAAACATGAGGGGAACTGTTATTCTACGAGCATGGCATGGGATGGGATGATGGGCTGAGGCAAGTTGAAGTACCAGAAAAATATTCAGTGTAGCAACTGCCACAGCCAGGGAGGGGGAGAATACGAGGGATTGGGAGGGGGGACAAGAAAGAAAGTCAAACAGATAGAGATGAGAAGAGGGGAGATAGGGGGGACAGGGAGGAGGGGGAAGAGGGAAGCAAGGGGGAAGAGAAAGGGGGAAATATGACGACATGAGAGGGAAAGGGGATATGAAGAGGGGGGGTGAGGGAAAGGAGGAGATAGGAAGAGGGTGAGAGGGAAAGAAGACAATACCAAAGGAAGGAGGGTGGGGAAGAGGGAAGAAGGGGAGAGGGAAGCGAGGGAAAGGGGAAGCAGGGCGGGGAGATAGGGAGATAAAACGAGGGGAAGAAGAGGGGGAAACGAGGGGAAGCAGGGGGGAAAACGAGGGGAAACAGAGGGGGAATTGAGGAGAAGCAAGGGGGAAGATGAGGGGAAAGAGTGGGGAAAATGAGGGGAAGCAGAGGGGAAAACGAGAGCAAGCAGGGGAGTAAATGAGGGGAAGCAGGGGGGAAAACGAGAGCAAGCAGGGGAGTAAATGAGGGGAAGCAGGGTGGAAAACGAGAGCAAGCAGGGGAGTAAATGAGGGGAAGCAGGGGGGAAAATGAGAGCAATCAGGGGAGTAAATGAGGGGAAGCAGGGGGGAAAACGAGAGCGGAGGCGCGGCGATGCGAACGGAGGCGTGGCGAGGCGAGCGGGGGCGCGGCGCGGCGAGCGGAGGCGCGGCATGGCGAGCGCAGGCTTTTCGCGGCGAGCGGAGGCGCGGCGAGGCGAGAGGAGGTGCGGCGAGGCGTGCGGAGGCGCGGCGAGGCGAGCAGAGGCGCGACGAGGGGAGGAGCTCGATGAGGGAAGGGGAGGAGCCACTCAGAGGTGCGTGGGCAGGCGTGGTGAGGTGGATTCACTCACCCTCGCGACCACAATGCGTTCCCTCGTATTTCATGCTGTGATGCGCTGTCGAGATGATTTCTGTTCAAAAAATACTAACCCAAGAATAGTGAGGTTGGGCTTACGCACTTGGTTTTCCCTCATACGGTTGGGTTGGTTTGTCGCACGCTCCAAACGATGTCGAGTGACGAATACAGAATGTCCTCGTTGCCTAATCTCGCTCTCGCCACGCCCATATTCTCGAAATGAACTTATTTGCCTTTCGTCAATATGTTTAAAGCCCTTCCGAAATTGTGGCAAAAATCATGTGATACTCGGGCTTTAATCTGATTTTCAAGGAATGATTTATTTTTCATCTGATTGAGTAGAAATGACTTTTTGTCTTCATTTGATTCATCAGAAGTGTAATATATGTTTCGTCTGAAATCGAAACATGTTAGAGTATGGGGATTTCCCGCATAACATGCTCTGACAGGGCGAATCTGCTGACAAAGCGAATCTGCTGAGGTCGAATCTCTTGTGTCAGGACGAGATTTCTATGATTGGACGAACATGTTGCGCTCTGACGTCGCGAATCTGCCGTGTCAGACCGAATTTGCTCTGATTGGGCGAATATTTTGTGCTCTGACAGGGCGAATTTGCCGTGTTAGGGCGATTTTGCTGAGACCAGTGAATTCCGAATCACACCAATGTGTACTTCGAATGAATGTGACAGGTCCAGAAAAGTCAAACTCAACTTGTTATCCCACGTGCATCTACCTGCTAGAAACTCTATTTTAATTGGTCAGACAATTTCTTTTGAAAATTCTGATGTATCAGACACGCAAGGGCCCGTCTGACGCATCATGGGGGTTCAAATCCTATCGAGGACCCTGACGGGCAGCGAAGCGATATAGCGAGGCGAAGGGCAGAGGAGAGAGAAGGCGCAATGGGAGAGGGGAAGGGTGACGGAGAGAGAGGAAGGGCGACGGAGAGGGAGGAAGGGCGACGGAGATAGAGGAAGGGCGACGGTGAGAGAGGAAGGGCGACGGAGAGAGGAAGGCGCGAAGGGAGAGAGGAAGAGCGTCGGAGAGAGAAGTGTCAGAAGTCTAGGCAGGAATGAATGACTAGATTAGGGTTTGGTACAAATATGAAACCCTAATGGGGTTGTACCCTATGTTGGCTACCCCACTACAGCCTACACATATATAACATGCATATAATTTGACACACCCCAATAGGCAAAGTGGGGGAGAACAAGGGGTCACAAGACCAGTCAAGAGAAGCAAAGCAAGCTCAGGGTGGATCACAACGTCACCACACACACTGAGCACAAGCAACGGACCACAAGGCCAGTTCACATGCAGAGGTATATATGCAACAACAACAACAACAACAACATAGTGATCTCTACCTAGTAAGAGCAAACATGCACGTATATATATATATATATATATATATATATATCATAGTACAAACAAAGCCTACAGCAAGTGAGGAAACGTAGGCACAAGGCCCAACAGGGTGCAGAAATGCTGATGATCACCAGACGGAAGTGCCTTGGTGAATATATCAGCATTGTTGGCCCGAGTGGCCACGTGAGCAAGACGAAGCTGACCACGCTGCTGCAACTCTCGAGCCAGGAAGTAACGCAGAGCGATGAGCTTTGTTCTGTGCTCTAGTCTGTGCTCCTGACACAAGACAATGGCGGCCTTGTTGTCGACGTACAGCACTGGAGGAGAACGAGGCCGCTCTCCCAAGTCGGTCAGCAGGTAGGTGAGCTAGCATAACTCCTGTACATCCATGGCTGTGGCGTAGATCTCAGCCTCACAACTCGAGCTGAGAACAGAAGACGAACGTGTAGAACGCAAAGAAACTGAACCAGAGCCAAGGCTGAAGGTGTAACCTTGTGACGACCGCTGCGTAGCCTAGTCGTCAACCCAAGAAGCGTCTGAGTGCCCAGTAAGGACAATGTTCCTCCGTCCTCCCAGCACAAGCCCCATGCCCGATGTAGTGCACAAGTAGCGTAGTACCCTCTTAGCAGCATCCATGTGCACCTTTCGGTGCCAACCAGGAGCCACGTAGCGAGCCAGAAGGCCAAGAGGGTACGCAAGGTCAGGACGAGTGCAGATCATCAGGTACATGAGGCAGCCCACTAGCTCTGGGTAAGGACCACTCGGCTCTACGGACTCGTTCGAAGGTGGAGCTGAGAGCGAGTGACCTGTAGCCAGAGGAGTGGCCTGTGCCGAGGACCAGGTGAAGCCGAAGCGCTGAAGGACCTGCTGCACCATGTGTGAGTGATACAGTGTGATGGTGCGGCGTGCTCTATCCCGGGTAATCTGAAAGCCAAGGTAGCTGCGCAGTTCACCCAGGTCTGTGCACGTGTGTCTTTTCTGCAGCTCGGACTTCACGTGGGCGAGAGCCTCAGTGTCAGCAGTGGCAAAGACCAAGTCGTCGACGTACAGGAGGATGTAGAACTGAGAAGAATAGAACGAGAATGAATGAACTATGAATGAAGTGAGTACATATAGGAAACCCTAATTGGGTTGTACCCCCTATGGGATACCCCACTATAGCCTACACAACAGCATAAGCTATATAACGTTCTGACACACCCCCATAGGCAAAGTGGGGGAGAACAAGGGGTCACAAGACCAGTCAAGCAAAACAGAGCAAGCTCAGGGTGGATCACAAAGTCACCACACAGTCCGAGCACAACGACAAGGCCACAAGGCCAGTTCACATGCAGGAGTACACACATATATATAGAGCTAGACAAGCAAGAGCAGGTATATATATGTGACAGTACAAGCAAGGTCAAGAGGAGAGCAAGTAAGGCAAGACAGGTACAAGACCCAGCTGAGTGCAGAAGCGCTGATGGTCACAAGGCGCGAGTGCCTTGGTGAACACGTCAGCAGTGTTGGCCTCAGAGGCCACGTACGCAAGCCGCAACTGTCCACGCTGCTGTAGCTCACGAGCAAGGAAGTAGCGGAGAGCAATGTGCTTCGTTCTGTGCTCCAGGCGCTGCTCTCGACACAAGGCCAGCATGGCCTTGTTGTCTACGTACAGGACTGGAGGAGAACGAGGCGGCTCTCCAAGGTCAGTCAGCAGGTAGGTGAGCCAGCGAAGCTCCTGTGCAGCCATGGCCCCGGCATAGATCTCAGCCTCACAACTGGAGCTGAGGACAGAAGACGAGCGAGTAGCCCGCCACGAGACAGAGCCGGAACCAAGACTGAAGGTGTAACCTTGTGACGACAGCTGCGTAGCCTGGTCGTCAGCCCAAGAAGCGTCCGCGTGCCCCGTAAGGACCACTGGACTCCGCCCTCCAAGCACTAGCCCCATGCCCGACGTACTGCACAGGTAGCGCAACACCCTCTTCACTGCAGCCATGTGCTCTGGTCGGTGTCTCCTAGGAGCAACATAGCGTGCAAGAATGCTAAGAGGGTATGCAAGGTCAGGTCGTGTGCAGGTCATCAGGTACATGAGGCAGCCAACAAGCTCTGGGTACGGGCCACTCGACTCTACGGACTCATCCGAAGGCAGAGCTGAGAGCGAGTGGCGAGTAGGCAGAGGAGTGGCCTGAGGCGAGGAGTACGTGAAGCCGAAGCGCTGAAGGACCTGCTGCACCATGTGTGACTGAGTCAAGGTAATGGTGCGGCGTGCTCTGTCCCGAGTGATCTGCAAGCCAAGATAGCTGCGCAGTTCACCCAGGTCTGTGCACGTGTGTCTCTTCAGCCGCTCGGACTTCACGTAGGCGAGTCCAGCAGTGTCCGCTGTGGCAAAGAC